AGTCAGTTCCAACTCATAGTGACCCTGCATAGGGTTTCTGAGGCTGTAAATCTTTACAGGAGCAGAAAGCCTCATCTTTCTCTTGCGGAACAGCTGGTAGTTTTGAACTGCCGACCCTGGGATTACCAGCCTGATTCATAACCAGTATGCTACAGCCTCAGAAACCCTACGTAGAGTCACTGTGAGGTGGAATTGACTCCACAGCACACCACCACCAGTAAATAGGTAGGCACAAGTGAACTAAGCTTGTGTATGTCCACCCTCTAGGAATTTGCACCTAGTACAAGAGACTATGCTTGGATTCTCTGGTTACCCAACCCCTCCCAAGGTAGATTGGAACTCCTATGACATCCCAAAGGTCCTGGGAGAGTAAGATTGTATCCTCTCCAGAAAGTTCTTCCACTCTCAGCCACTAGCCACTGATAGACACCAACTTTACTCAGAGGCCTAGAGTGTATCCAGCACTTGGGGCTCCATGGTGCGGAAGACTCATTAGAATCCTGCAGTCTCGCAGGTACCTCCAAGGTCTTCAGGAACCTCTCCTCACAAACATCTTTGGGCTGCAGGAAGTAGGTGTACCAGGATTTACCAGGGCACAGAGAAGGCAAAGGATGGTGTGCTTATTTCAGGAGTGTCCAGAAACCTCTACACCCCCAAACCCTACATCGGATGGATGATGTCTGAGATGCCAACTCAGGGATGCTCGTTTTGACTTAGAGTTCTGGTCCAGGTAAAAATGTAGGGAACATGGGGCTTCCTTAAAAAGGTAGAACTAGAGATACCGTATGATCCAGCAATCCCAGTACAAGGTATATATTCGAAAGAAATAAAAGCCACGACAGAAATAGATATATGCACACTCATGTTCTTCACAACACTGTTCACAACAGAAAAAAACCTGAAGCACCTTAAGTGCTCATCAATGAATAAATGGATAAACAAACTGCGGTGTATACACACAAGTGACTACTACCCAACACGAAAGAATAATGATGAATCCATGAAACATCTCACCTGGAGGATATTACATCGCGTGAAATAAGTCAATTACAAAAGGACAAATACTGTAGGGAGACCACTATTATAAAAAGTTAAGGGAATGTTTATGCACAGAAAAAATCAACAACAACAACTTTTTGATGGTTTCCAGGGTAGGAGGGAGAAAGAAAATCACAACTAGATAGCAGACAGTATTAACTCGGGTGAAGGGAAAGGCAGTGTCCAATAAGCGGGCCTGCAGCCCAACATGGCCAAAGCAAAGGAAGGTATCGGGAGACATGCAAGAGTCAAAGCTAACAATGGTAAACGCTATTATATACACAATTCTGCCATAATGGAGTCTTGGTGTAGTGCTGTAGGATAAGCACTGGACCACAAGGTCCGTGATTCAAATGCAACAGTCTCTTCTCGAAAGCCCTATACAGGGTCGCTATGAGTTGGAACCAACTTGACGGCACTAACAACAATCTTCCACAACAAACAATAACGTATGAATGGATACACAGGTAGGTATAGATGCTGAACAGGCATGGGATGGTGTACGGGAGTACATCCAGCAGCATATGCATATTTGTATGAGCTGCAGTATATTTAGGAAGACAAAAGAGCATGCTGTTGTGGTGGTGGTTGTTAAATGCCATGGAGTCGATTCTGACTCATAGTGAGCCTGTATAGGGTTTCCGAGGAACAGCTGGTGAGTTTGAACCAGTGACTGTACAGTTCAAACCAACCTTGCAGTTCAGTGCATTAACCCGCAGCGCCACACCAGGACTCCACAGAAGAGCATATGGGGCAGATTGATGCAAACTTTGTAGCTATAACAAAACACCTTAAGGGACTGAGTCACGGGGTTTGCAGGCCTAGGACCATAGTCTAGGGGACACCTAGGTCAATTGGAAGGAGCTCTGGTAGCATCATGGTTACGAATCGGGCTGCGAACCTTAAGGTCAGCAGTTCAAAACTACCAGCTGTTCTGCGGGAGAAAGAGGAGGCTTTCTGCTCCCGTAAAGATTCACAGCCTCAGAAATCCTGTACAGGGTCACTATGAGTCGGAACCAACTCCACGGCACATAACAACAACAACAGGTCAATTGATATAACATAGTCCTACATGTTTTACATCCTTCTGTGATGAGAAGGTCCAGGAGTTTGAAGGCTTGTGAGTAGTTATCTAAGAGACAGCTATTGGTCTCATCCCATCTGGAGAAAAGAAGAGTGAAGAGAATCAAAGACTCAGGGAAATAATTAGTTCAAGGGACCTAATGGACCATACAAAGCCCAGCCTGAGTCCAGAACTAGATGGTGCCTAGCTACCACTACCAACCACTCTAATCTGAATCACAATAGGAAGTCATAGACAGAGTAGGAGACAAATGTAGAACAAAATTCAAACTGATAAAAAGACCATTTACTAGTTTGATAAAGCCTGGCAGAACCCCAAATTATGGCTCTTCAAATCTGGAACTGAACCCACAGACTAGTGCCTTTCAGCCCTACAATCGACTGATGTCTGAAATGAACAGCAACATCTAAGAGCAACATGCCGCTCAACTATGAGATCAAAGTGGCAGTATTTGCCCCAAAACAAAGTTCAGATGGCAGGAAGGGTCAGGAAAGATGAGCAAATAGAAAACGGGGAACCCAGGGAGGGAGTGGGAAGAATGCTATTACATTGAGAAACTTGCAACTCATGTCATGAAACAAAATGTATATAAACTGTTTAATGGGAAACGAATGTAAACTTTCCCCTACCTACAATCAAGTGTTCACAAAAGGAAAAACATGGGCAACATTTACTGTCATTGTGACCTTAGGCCAGTTACTAGTCCAGAAAGCATGTTTAGAAAGGGGAAAAAAGACAAAAACAGGTGGGCAGTGGATGTCCACACGGTGTAAGGAAGCGACAAGAGAAAATTCAGTGACTTGATGGCATTTTACAGCTCTCCAGAAGGGCAAGGTTAATGGAAATGATCAATTCAGTAGAGCGTCTGCTGCCATCAAGAATCCTTCCTTGGGTCCAAGTGAGCTGAGCTCATTTCCCTCTCCCCAGGTGGGGTTTGGTGTACATTATACTGGTCCTTGTTTGTTGTTGTTGAGTACCGTCGAGTCAGTTCTGACCCACAGCAACCCTGTGTAAGGTTTCTGAGGAGCAGTTGGTGAGTTTGAACTGCTGGCCTTGTGGTTCCAAGCGACACTGCAGTCCGGCACATTAGCCCACAGCACCACAGAATCACATCTGTTTATCAGGAGAGAATGAAATGTACTCAATGGATAGAGAAGCAAGGCCCCAAGCTTGGATGTGGGGATAGTGCTCCAGGTTTCCTAGAATCCGGCTGAGGAATTTTGCTGCCTTGAGTTAGGGCAGAGCAAATGAAATGGGAAGAAACATACAGCTCCAAACATACTCAGCAGCATATAGTATGAACCAGGGCAGTCCCGAAGCCAGGGTTTCCGAGACCCTGAGAAACAAAGTGCCTCGGGTTTTCCCAGATGTTTATGAAGAAAAACAAGTTCTCGTGATTATGCAATTGTAATTCTGGATTCCACAAAGGTCTCAAGTCATAAAAAGGACCCATCATCTTTCAATATTTGTAAAACAAGCAGATATCAGAAGAAGGAACACAGTTTCATGCGCATCATTGCTAAGGTGAAAAGTACAATGGTGGAATGTTCACTTGTGTGAATTCTGAGGGGTCTCTAAACACAAACTATCCTTGAGGTCCTTAGACTTTCTCCTTCCATCCATAGTTCTCAGGGGAAAGTATCCATCATGTATTTGATTTGACTCAATAACCACACATTTGAGGAAGGCCTTGGTACAGGTTTACTATCCACCTAGAGGTAGCTAGGTCAAATTGCAGGCATAGTGACTAAAGGGCATCATTGATTCTACAAAGCAGGAAAGGGGAGGAGACACTCTGATGCCTCCAAGACAAAGCAGATAATACAAACAAGTGAACCAGGCCCAGTGAGAGAGGAAAAGTCTTAGAAAAAAGAGGCAACTCCCATTTCATTCAAACTGATTGTCCCTATTGGGAATGCAGTTGTGAGTTAGCTAGCGTACCTTCTGATTGTTCAAGCCAGAAGTTCTGATTTTAATGTGAAAGCTCCTGATTCTCAGATGTTGAGTGCATTTTCTGAGAACACTAGGTGAGTGAACTGAAGCTTCCAGTCCTCTGCTGTACGGATGGTGAGCATCATCTTCCGGAATCGTGGTCTTAGACTGCCACTGCACAGTTACCTTTTGCAACTGCAGTAGGAACATCATCTGACAGGGGCTGCCCGCTTTTCCATGCACACACAGCTATACTCCAGAGGTAGAGAACACCTAACTCTACAGGAAAAACAGGGAGCCACTAGGGATGGCAGCAGGCTGGCCCTCGTGGTCAGCTACTGCCCGGCAGGCATTAAATAGCTGACTGTTCCTGCAGGAAGCCTTCCGGGACTGGGAGGCCTTTATCGGGCTCAGAGGCCAGGGCTGCTTCTCGGAGAACTTCCAAGTGCTCCTCAGCGGCTGACAGTGACTGATCGATCCAATCCAGGCCCCCAGTCAGGTGGCAGGCATTCCTGGTCACCAGCACCAGGTGACTGACAGACAGGAGCAGGGCCGTTGTCCTAGAAAAAACAACAATCAGGTTCCCTAGGAAGTGAGGAACTTCTCAGCAAAATCCAAATGGAGGGACTCTAGACTAGAGACCTCAGAGCTGGAGGACCCTCCGCAGGAGGCTGCTATGTCTATAATAGAAATGTAATTTGGATGGCTGAATTAGATAATGTTAAATAGCTCTCTGTACATCAGCACTTCTCCAGAGCCTTTGATGTGTGTAACAAAGCTCCAAGGGGAGAATAAGCTGTGTTTTCATGCACTTATTGAAGACTGTAAAACCCATTTTATGCAGCAGGCCCATTAGCATCTCCCAGAACACTGTTCCGTGGAACACAGTTTGGATCTAGTCGACTGGATGAGCATATCCCCAACCAAGGCCCACTTAATGACAGCAGCGTCATAGTCTCACCTTGAGTAGTTCTTACTGTGAATCAAGGGTTGTTGTTTTTTTATTGACTACGAATCAATAAGCCCCAGGGCTGGTTTACCCCACTCTAAAACCAAAACCTAATTGAGAACCAAATTGAGGATAAGTTTTGGTATTTAAAGATTTACTGCAGAGGGTCTTTTATTGAGTGTCCATGGGGCATTTGGAGACATACTGCAATTGACTAACTCCACACAGAACTGGGCAGCAGTAGCAGTGAGGCAGAGAGACAGCACAGCTGCAGGAGCATGTGCCAGGACCCCTGCCCATGGGTAACCCTTACATCCTGTACAGGAACACAATTTCATAAAGGTAACTATTAAGGGAGGGTCAGGGAGAAGGATGACTGGAGGTTTCCTGTACAAGGTGGACACAGCTTTGGCCACCGCATCCCTTCCATCTCAGGGCTCTGCCTGGTCCCCTTGCTCCCCTGGGTGGCACTCACAGCTGGGGCACTTCTGCTTCTGGGGTTCACAGAGCAGACTGGAAGCATTAGGGTCACAAAGAAGGTATGGCAGTGAGGACTTCGCACTGTCCAATGTTTCCTCCTAAGACTTCAAAATCGAAGACCGACCCTTCCTCATTAAGGTTTCAGGAAGAGGTCTGCTCTTTATCACCCATCAGTCTCTGCTCACTGGCTGCAAGGCACGACAGGGCTTCCACTACACTGAAGGGAATGGTAGCCCAAGCCTTAGGGGCAAAAGAGACTGAACTGCATTTCCTAGCATTTGGGCATAATCAGGGCAGTCTCAGCAACCCAGCAAAACAGCTCTCTCCTAAAAAGACTATTCAGCCATAAAATGAAGACCCTCCAGCATGAAAAGTGAACAGCCCCTCTCACCGTGCATCCAGGAGTTTCGGGTCCAGTGGAGGGTACATTGATTTCACCACATCATCCACTCTGAGGGAAGACAAAAGGTTTCAGGGTCTCACTTTCCTTACCTCCTTTCGTGGATGGATTGTGTCCCCCATCATCTGGGTTGGAAACCTCATCCCAATAACTGTGGCTGTAATCCCATTTGGGAACAGGGCTTTCTCTGTTAGGCGAATGAGACATAAGTGTGTAAGATGTGTTTTAAGCCTAATCATTTTTAAGCTGTTCAGCCCAGAAACAAGCCAGCACAAACGAGATGATACAGAAAGATGGAGATTGCCAAGGAACCAAAAACCAGAAGTGAAAAGAAACAAAGAATTTCCCCCAAGGAGACAGAGGAAACCTTCCCCTAGAGCCCGCGTCCTGGATTCAGACTTCTAGCCTTCTCAATGATGAGAAAATAAACGTCTGTTCACGACAGCCACCCACTGGTGGTATGTCTGTCACACTATGAGGAAACTATGATACCTGTCCTCCTTTCTTTCCACCTTTCTGTATTCTAACTCTTCCCTTTGATATTCAAGACCCAATGTAGTGGTTCTTGCCCTAGCCGCATCTGCATTCTCAGACAGAGGTGACAGAAAGACGTCAGGTTCTGTTCAGATCATGTTTTTATTGTGCTGTTGTTTTCATTCCTACGTTTTAAAAAGTATATGGAAAGATAGATGTTCCAGATATACTGCTAGATTAAAAAGCCAAATTGCCAAACAGTATAGAAGGCTGTCTCAATCCCCTTTGTATAAAAGTAAACAAGCAAACAAAAGCTATGTAACGAAAGGGAAAAGTCTGGAAGAAAACTCACCAGCTCAACAGTGCTTAACTCCTGAAGTTGGGAGTATTTTATTCTTCAAATAACTTATTTCTGCAGTGGTTTAATTTTTACAAGCACTGATTACTTTTATGTTCAAGAAAAGAAAAATATCTGAAGGTAGCTAAATAGAAGACTTAAAAGGGGGGCAAAAAAAAAAAAAGCCACAGGTGTAATCTGGTTCAAACGGATACATTGGAATTCTTTTAACACCTGGTTCCCGTGATAAACCTGTGTAGTTCTCAATCACATTCAAAAAGGAGCTATGACTATTCATTCTGATTCGCAGTTCAAGGTTTTGCTCCAAGTCCTGGACCACTTGATGGTGGGAAAGAAAAATAAAGATGTCTTATTTGATTTCTAAAAATATTTGATAAAAGATGCCCTCAACTGTTCCTCATTGTCCTGCTTGGCTGGTCCCTTTCTCTGTAGTGCCCTGGGGCTGAAGCCAGGGGCACTTCTCCTTGAAATGAATGTGCCATCAACATATTCATAAATGGAGCAGGAAAAACAGAGAGAGCAAAAATCTGCCGAGAAGGAGAAAGAGAGCAAGGGCAAAATGATAACTCGAGAGCCCTGACAGAATTACGGCAGGGAACATTCTGGAATTCAGTCAAGGTTCTGGTTGCACCAGGTCAGGTCCACCCTCTAGGGTGGCTGCTAACCCTGCTCACCCAGGTCTTCACTTCTCAGAAATCTCCATCTTGCCTTCCCCTACCCTTCCTCTCAATGTGCAGCCTGGCAACCTGGAATCACAGCCATCTGACTGGCTCCCTGGAGGGAATCCAAGAGACAAAAAGTACAATGAAGGCTCCAGCAGATACATGAATGTGCAACCTGTAAAAGTAGCAGGTGGCCAGAGCTTAGGCTGGGGGGACTAGACAGTGGGGGTCTTAAGGGCAGGGATGCTAGTCATGTAGCCACATGGGCTGGTCCCTCCCCTGGACTCTCTCTCTCCCACTTTCTCACATCCCTGGATTCCTCCTGGACACCGAATCTCTCTTGTTCCCTCAGAGGACTTTAGCATACTGCTGATTCACAGGAAGCTGGTCCTTTTTATTTGGTTAGTCTGGAGGCCAGGAAAGGACTGATTCCTCATGATTTGCCTGAGCACATGGCAACAAGGACCATGAAAGCGTCTGGAACTCACACAGGAGCCGCCATTCCTGCCAGGAATATGGAGGCACCACACCCAGAGGAAAGTCTAGGTGGCTGAAAAAGGAAACATCCTGGACAGCTCTGGGATCCTGCAATTCTAGCCACCAGGTGGCAGCACAGTCTTCTTATAGCCTTTCTCTCTTGGAGAGGCCTCTAGTTTTCTTCACAACATCTAGCCCAAATGCGGGGGTGTAGCTGTTGACTGAAATCTTGCTAGCCGCCTCCCACATAGGATTTTGCAAACTGCCTGGAATTTGGGAAGGCTGAATGTTGAACAGAGTCCTGGTGGCGATGTGGTTAAGCACATAGTTGCTAACTGAAAGGTCAGTAGTTCAAACCCACCAGCAGAAAGATGTGGCAGGCTGTATGGCTTCACTTCCCAGCTAGGCCAGGAGGCTGCTAGCGGGTCATAGATGAGTCAGTGGGTGACAGCTTAGCAAGGAGCAGACCCTCACACTAGTCTCCAGTACACACATGGGTCAGGGCCACTGGGAGGCAGGGCGCCCGCAGCAGTGGGGAGGGTCTGGCTGGCTACAGGGCAGAGCCTGGGAGGAAGGAGTGAGGTAGTCCCCACTGATATAGAGACGGCAGCGGAACAGACAGGAGGCATGCTGGAGATGTGTTGATGTGTCAGAGAGAGCCCATCTTAGTGTGAAAGACTCCATATCTAGGGGCTCTAGGAATGTTTGTGCCTGTGTATTGTCTCTTAAAATGGCCTGGTTCCATCAGCCACCACTGCGTCTAGGCCACCTCGCTCCCCCAGCAGGGAGTGGGCTCCTCAGGGTCCCAGACCACTCACCTGGGGCTGATCCGCTTGGCCACCACGATGATGTCACTGACGCTGGCTGAAGTCTTCATCTTGGCTCCTGAGCCCATTGTCATGGCAACCAGTTTTTCTGTTAGAGTGTGACAAATCTAATGCAGTGGAGAGGAGAGAGGTGACAAGGGGGCAACCACACTCCCTGAGGGCTCCTGCCACCCCACCACACATACCACCACACAACTAGCCTCCTGAGCTATTGACAGAATTGAAGGGAAAAGTGCACAGAGATTTGAGGAAACGGAATGGGAAGAGGCAAAGGTTGTGAACATGAGTGAAGACAGAGGGCCAGGAACCTCAACTTGGGGTCAGGTTTTGGCTCAGAGAAGTTGAAGCTGAAATCACCCAAGAAAAATCATGTGCTTCTACTTCTCCTGCTTGCTCAAGGGAGAAGCCCTACTGTCTCTCTCTTCCTTCACCTCGTGGTCCAGCCTCTAAGGGCAAATATCTCCACTTTTGCGCCTTCAGAAACACAGCCGGACAAAGGGGCAATTGTTCCCTCGAAGCACATTCTCCAAAACTGGCATTTATTTTGCCAATTTTCTAGGTTAATACAGTAGCATGGTATTGTCAGGAGGATGGTGAGAGGACTTTCAAAAAAGCAGGAAAAAGACACATGGCCTTTCTCATCACCAACGAACAGAGAGGGTCACCTCCAAACCTGTCACCCCATGAATATGCTTCTGTCCCTGGCACAGTTTCATTACCTGCCTTATACCTACAGCTGGAAAGAGAAGGTATAATGAAACCCAAAACCCCACCAGGAGTGAGTCTCCACCCTAGGGACTCAAGGGCAGATGGCCAAGCAAAAGGGTCCTCAGATCTCAAGAAGAGAATTAAGTTCTTTCCTCTGATCTGAGGTTCCCAGTATGAACCATTGTCTCCAATCCAAGAAGACTCTTTCTAGATATTTAAATAGTACCAGTCACGTTCCCCCTTTGATAGTCTGGGCGTCTCTGTGGGGCATAAATAGTTAAGTACTCAACAACCCAAAGGTTGGCAGTTCAAACCTACCCGTAGGCACTTCAGAAGATAGATCTTGCAATCGGCTTTAAAATCATCACAGTCTTTAAAAACCCTATGCAGTAGTTCATTGCACGTGGGATCACCAGGAATAAGAACCAATTTGACAGCAACTAACAACATGATAGGAAGGGGCAGAGGGCAAACTCTGGTTCCAGGCCACGTTCGGGTTTGGAGACTGGAAATGTTTATAGGGCATTATTGTGATAGTCGTCATAACTATCTATAACCACCGGCCCCCAAAACAAAAACCAGACCCGCTGCTAGTGAGTCAATTCCAGCTCACAGGAACCATATATGTTATAGGACACAGAACTGCCCCACAGGTTTTCCAAGGCTACAAATTTTATGGAAGTATAGTTCCATATCTTCCACGGTAGAACAACTGGTGGGTTTGAACAGCAATCTTTCAGCTAGTGCCTGAGTGCTTAACCACTGTATCACCAGGTCTCCTTCTCAATCTCTCTGGCCATGTCTATCCAAAGAATAAGTCTGGGCTCAGGGAAAGCCGATTCCTCCTTAGTGTTTCTTTGTCTCCAAAGAGAGGCAGCCAAGGAAAAGGTGGGATGAAGGACACTGACGAAAAGATCAAAGTTATCCTTTTTTAAATCTTGAATAATTACTAGACAAAGATTTCAATGTGTGGTTTCCTAGGTTACTTAAGTGAGAAAGCTGACAATATTTGCAACCGGCCAAATACTTCAGTATTTTCATTGTTCCATTAGGTAAATGTCCCAGTTGAAAAATAAATGCCAAAATGATAAAAATGACTCAAAGTGCAAATTGAATACAATTTTTCAAAGAGTTCAACCATTGAAAAAAAAAAAAAGAATCTGCCTTCAAGTTAAAGTCCTCGGGGTTTGGATTTTTTTTACACTTTGTCTACGGGTACAGACAGAGTATGAGGGAAGGAATTCTAATAATTGGGGAAGTCTAAATACAGAACTTGTGGCAAAGGCCTGAGCTCTCTATTAATGAAATCAAGTGTTCAGGGAGAAATTGAGCAAACCCCGTTTTCCTTTTAGCAGCTAAATAGTCTTGGGCACACACAACTTTCTCTTTAGTGGTGACAATGGGCTAGTGACTATCTAGGCTGGTAGGACCAGTTGAAATAAACCCTTTGCAAGGGCCTTGAGAATCACATAGGGTAACACTTCATCCAGGTAGAAGTGGAAGCAGACAGGAGAACCTCCACGCATCAGGCATGTTAAGAAAGGCCCCTTGGCAGGTTTGCACAGGCTAAGTGGGACACAGGTAAATAATGACGTATGCACAACCTTGGAACAACAGGGCTCTGGGATACAGGGATTGAGGCATGGTTTGAATGGGTAAAAGGGGGAGATAATATTAAGATGCTTGGCTGTCTTTTGAATCTTGGCTTCCCTTGCATACCATTATAAAATAGACACTTGAGGGGGAGAGAAAGGAACAGCCAGAAATATCACCATAGAAAGCTTGTAAGTCCGTCTTCTGCCTATAACTAATTGGAATACCTAAAGTTGGGCTACACCGTGCCCAGTGAAGGAGGCTTTCTGTGGAGCCTCGGCATTGCATAAGATCATAGGCGGAATCCTGAACCCCAGCCAGAATGTTCTGAGGTGGGAAATTTCCACTTGAAAGGACAATCAGACCAGCTTGGAGTGGCTAGGAGAACAGACGAAACTTCTTGAAAGAAAGAACAACAGGAAAAATTAAAAAAAAACAATAACAGCAGTCTGACTGATTACTACAAGAACAAGCAAGTATCTTGCCCAGGAGACATTAAGGCAAGTGGCCGGGTCCCTTCAGGGCAAACCCTCTTCCAAGACTAATACTCAGTGGGAATACACAAGCAGACATGTGGTCTGACTGGTGACCATGTTGGTCACCGATAAGAGAAAATGAGGGAAAAACAGCAATGAAGCTGCAAGTTAAGTCCTACCACGTTCAATAGACTCCTGTGAACCCAGATGGAGACCTGGTTGGCCAGCAGTATGGCAAGACCTGGGGACCCCTGGGCCCAGAGTCAGTGACATAGTCACAGAGGACTAGAGTGGAGAGTGAGCATCCAGCTGATAAGAAGAGAGGGCATATGCACAAGGACACCCACACTTGCAAATAATACCAGCTGGACCTGGCTTCAATGGCTAGATGATCAGAACTCAACTAGAAGAAGAAAGAAGAGGGGAAAAAAGAGTAATCTGATACAATGTGATGAACCTGACCTATTCCTATGGATGCAATAGCTCAAAAGAGAGACCAAATCTTTACAGAGAGGATCATTCCTACCCCCTCGGTACACCGGGTAGACAGGGATGGGCAACTTGGATGTTGGCTACCCAAATGGGGGTCTGCAAAGGCAAGAAGTGACTGGCTTACAAGCTTTCAAGAGGGAGCCTAGATCCAGAGGGTGCAGAGGAAGGTAGAATCTCCACTGAGTAGTAGACAATCTGTCTGGGCAGGGCTGATGAAAGGAGATGGGAATAGGTCTCTTGTGCTACAACAGTGAATAATTGTTATCAGGACTGACTGTGAGGGTTGGAAATGTAAAGGTAGACGTTCTATAGCAAAAGGAGGGGAGTGATTAACTGCAGTCTAGGAGTGGAGGTCCCTGGAACCATCAAGGGAGAAAAGCAGAGTGTGGGACCTTACCTAGAGAAACAGTGATGCCAGAGATGGAGGCAGAAACAATGACGTGGAGCGATGGAGCAGCTGGGGACTCTAGACCCAGAGAGGGAGAGGGGCTGTGTGCTGACAACCGAGAGGCAGGCTTATAGTGTATACCCTTTGGTTGGTTGATGATGCATGGAGGGGATTGTAATCATGGCAATGAAACGATACACGATAGGATGAGTGTAAATATAATGTTCTCCCATGTAAACTATCACATAATTCACAATAAAACATTTGGGGAAAAAAAAGAAAGTCCTCTTGGGAGACATAGAGGCTGAGTTTGGCACCCTTGCTCGGGTCCCCTTTGGCTCTAAGATTCTATGCATGGAGTCTTTAGTGCCCCCCACCCCTTTTTCTCACCATGAAATCAGTGAGGATTACCTTCAAGATGGCAATGCAGTGGGACATGAGACCCCTGAGGAGACAAGAAGAATTTGTTAGCAGTTACCTAAGGAGCCCATCTCCTTCTCCCCCACCACCTCTGCTTCTCATCTGGCTCCACCAATGGGCACAGGTGGTCAGTACTCGAGTGCAGTGATGTCTCAGTGCTAAAACGAGCATGCTTGTGAGCTAAATGAGGAGGCACCTTCCTGCTTCTCCCCTCCCTGCCTCACTACACCCAACTCTTCTAGCCATGCTTTTCATAACTCTGAGTTTCTGACAGACTGGTCTCTCGGTCTGGTGTGTCCATCCCCTTATGGTCAACCTGGTGAATTACTTCTCATCTTTGAAGACCCCAAGTCTAACAGCACCTACATTGTGATATCCTTCATGAAACCCACCTCCACTTTTTTACCCTAGGCGAATCTAGACACTGCCTCCTCCACATACCTACAGAGATAATGTATTGTTTCTACATCTTCTAGATTCAGATTTATTTAGATTTTTTAGATTCAATTATCTCCCTCCCATTTTTAGAACCACAGGGCCTGGCCCAGTGCCCTGCACACAATGGTCCACAAATATTTGCCCAGTGAATGAATGACTAAATGACTAAGGAAAGGAAGTGGCATGTCCTGCTCAAACTATGAAGGTTCCTTTTGGGTTCAAAGATCCCAGAAGGATACTGATGACAAATGGGGTCCATTGCTAGAATCACAGTATGAAATTCACTGACACCCCAAGGATAATCTAAGCACATCAGAAGGGTTTGGTAACAATCTTTGTCACACATGTATGGGCTTTCCATGTTCAGGTTTACAAAATGGGGACAAGGACAAACACTATCATACCATATTCTGACATCCCCCATGTGAAGGATAAACGTAAAAGCAGTGAGTGACCCAGGGCTCCTGGGTGTCAGCTGAGGGACCTGGCAAAGGAAGCCAGAGAAGAGTACACAGAAGCCCCCATGTGCTCCCCCCATGGGCTAAATGATCTAAAGGAAAGCAAAGTCCCCGTGGCCTTACGAGGCATCTTCAATCCAATCTTCATTCTCCAGAATGGCCTCAATGTGAGGGTTGGTGATGACGACATCATCCAGTTCTAACTCAGAGGGCTCAGACTGGGTCTCCATGGCGCCAATGAGGTCCACAATGGGTCTGCAAACAAAAGACCCAGTTAAGTGGTCTTATAGGGGGTAACTACTGCTGATCCCCTCCTCACTCAGGTTTACATATGCCCAAAAGGATGAAAAAAATAAGTAAGAGTGGGGGCCACTTTTTCTAATCTAGCCACAACCCTAGTTGCAAATAGGGCCATGACTAGACAGTGAGTCATGCAGGCAGCTCTGGGGTGCCAATTGTTTTTTAAAAGAACACAGAAGGAAATAAAGCCCTGAGAGAAAAGCTAGAGCTACAACCAAATACTTACAGATCTGTAATAGACAGAGCTGCTCTCTTAGGACAAAGTAAAATCCCTTTGTAACTTATTTTACCTTCAAACTACCTTTTAAACAATGGTTGAAGTTCATATTACCCAAACCTACCTACATCCTCAACCTGATCTGCTGAACCACTCTTGAGAACCACCCTGGTCCACCCAACCCTTCCTCCCCAACGTCTAGTTTCACTTGTGAGGTGGAATAAATAAAAACAACCCCTACTTTCACAACAGAGTTCTCAAAAAACAAGACACAATACCATTCTTTTCAAAAGCAGAGCTTTCCTGGATCACACCCACAAAACCACTGCCGTCAAGTTGATTCAGACTCGTGACCCTATAGGACAGCTTAATGCCCCATAATGTTGCCAAGGCTACGACTATTTATGGAAGCAGACTGCCACATCGTTCTGTGGTGGGTTTGCACCACTAACCTTTCAGTGTGCAGTTAAACATTTTAACCACTGCACCACCAGAGCTCCTCATAGAAGGAACTCACAAATTATTAATTACTTAACAGAGATGCTAGTAGGATAAAGGTAGCGGGGTAAGAGAAGTTCAGCATTCCATGATCTCTCAATGAAAACATACCAAACTGACAAGGAATGTGCCTATAAAATATATTCCACAATGAAGCATGAAGATATCTGGTGTGCAGACAGAGATAGAGTCTTATGCTGGGATTTCACTGGTTTTACTACTGCCTGGATGTGTGGTGCTGGAATTCAGGTATCTGATCTGTGCCGTGGTTTGGCTGAATAGGGCTTTGGCTGGTCCAACTGCTAAGTGAGCTTAGCTCAGTCTTGGCTGAGTGACCACGTCCTTACTCCAGGTGAACATGTTGAGTCACTTTCTCATTGGCTCAGGTGACAGAGGTAGCTCAGGATGTTAGGACATTTAAGGAATATTGTTAAACTCTAAGTTCAGTATCAGGAAGGGCAGCCGGCAAATGCCATTTTAGAGACAAAAAAGCTGGGCTGGAGCTGCCCTGGTAGCAGAGTGAGTTGCACGTTGGGTTGCAAACTGCAAGATCAGCAGTTTAAATCCACCCGCTGCTTCATGAGATAAAGACGAGACTTTCTGCTCCCACAAGAACGTACAGCCTCTGAAACCCTATACAGGGCCGCTATGAGTCGGAATGGACTTGATGGCATGCAGCAGCAGGAAACTGGGTGCTCTCGGTTTCTTTGTTAGAGCCCATCTCTCGTCCTTCCCCTCCCTGGGACCACTCACTTGGAGTCATAGCGTTGCAGCAGATCTCGGGGCCGGCAATAGCGCTGCCTGCAAACCACCACCAAGGCTGCAAACGAGGCCAGGAAGATGGTGGCCAGCACACCTATGGCAACAATCACCACAGTCTCCATGTTTCTGGGCAGCTCCCGGTACCCTGTCACATTCTCCGTGGGGACTCAGTCTTGAGCGTACTGCAGGCCTGGTGAAGAGACCACAGAACACAGAAACACTGGCTAATCTGACCTGGTGGGAAGCCAGGTTCCCTCAGGCCATCTATAAAGACCTGAGGGCCTAAACAGAATCCAGCAGTATTTTACAAGTCACGCCCCAAATTTGCCTTTTCCTTTATTCAAAGGTTTGCCCGCTCCCCCCTCCGGCCCCCCCTCCCGTTGGACTAGGATGGCTTTTCAAACCCAAGGACAAAAGATAACTAACACTCTTGCTTTCACATCTAAAGCAATGCACAAGAAAGCAAGCCTTCTGAAAAAGAGCCAGATTGACTTCTTGTCAGGCACTTTGTATTATGCTAACTCTTCTATGTTAGCAGTAATCCTTGTTGATGTTGTTTAGTGGCGTTGAGTTGGTTCCAACTCATAGTGACCCAGAAGAGGGTTTCTGAGGAGTGGCTGGTGACTTTGAACTGCCACCTTTCAGTTCAAACAGACCTTGTGGTCCAGTGCTTATCCTGTAGCACCACACCAGGACTCCTGGGAGGAAAGCATTCAAATCTCCACCTTATAGTTAAGGAAACTGAGGTTCGGAAACAGTAAGTAATTTGTCCAAGTTTATGTAGTCAGGAGGCGCTTTAGCTAGATTTGAACCCTAAAGCCCATTCATTTAAACATAGAAGGACATCTACTTACATCTTTCTTTTTTTCTAAAGAAGATTCTAAAACCTCTAGAAAGGGTTTGGTCATTTTCAGTGTTGGAAACTTACAACTGGTATCAAAGTGTTCCTTATCTCTTGCCTATTTTAAACTCATAGAGGAGCAAGTGTATTTCTGAGGAGTAGATATACACACTGTTGTTTCATAGCCGACCTCCTACTTCAGTACTTTCTAGAAAGTTTCCTTTCCATTCTGAGCCTTAACTTCACCACTTGAAAAAGGGTGGTTTGACCTAGGTGTTTCTGGGTTTCCATGAGTTACTCTAACTCCACTTAATTCTATTCTCGGTGTCTTGGAAGGTCTAAATGCTCATAGTCATCATTCTGTAAGTATTTATTCATCATACTTATGCATCAAACAGTGGTCTTGTTTCTGAAGATTGGAGATAAATAAGACAAAGGTCTAACCTTTAAGAAGCTGGTGGCAGAAGTAGATAGATAGGTCATTTCAACTCCATGTGATCTACGTAACAACAGAGGCCTGTACTACGTAGGAAAATACACAGAAAAGAGAGCAACTTGTTTGCATGGCACTTTGGGGGAAAAGCAGATGATGCTTCAGCTGGGTTTTGAAGGATGAGCAGGAGTTTGCCAATTGGACAAGACTGGCTCAAAAAGTCTCCAAGAGACTGGGGTATATGTCCCACAAGGGTAAGACGACTGGAATTTATCTCTTTCATTGCTGTATCTCCTATCCTGTGTGTGTGTCTTTCTCTTTTTCTCTCTTTCAGTGTGTGTGTGTAGTCAGGAGGTTTAGAAATTCTTCAGGTCTATGTGTTCTGCATGCTCCCTGCTCCCCCTGCCCATTTCCTTGACTCCATTATTCCTATCTCCCCTTCCTGCCCTTTGTTTCCCCCTTTTCTTATTTCTGCCTTCCTCTGTTTCTGTCTCTCTTCTGGGCTTTCTCCATTTTCCTCTTTTGCCCTCCCTTCAGTCTTCCCGCTTCACTCAGTTTCTCCTCCCTCTCCTCCCTCCTTCCACTCCCAGTCCCAGCAGGCCCCTGGTATTGGAGACCACCCATTTTGTTTCCTCCCTGTGTGCAGTATGTGCATTCGAGCATGTGTGTGTGAACTCTGAGTTCTTATGGTCATGCTGGGATTCTGTCAGTTTGTAGGTGCGCCTGTCTCAGTGTGTGTGTGTGTATGAATGCTGAGTTCTCTGTCATGCTATGAATTTGTTGGTGTAGATGCGTGTGTGTGTGTGTGTGTGTGTATGAATGCTGAGTTCTCACGGTCATACTGTGATTTAGTCGGTGTAGGTGTCCCTTTGTGTGTGTGACACGGTCAGACTATGATTTTGCCGTGATGTTTTTGTGTGTGCTTGTTGTGTTTGTCGTCCTCCTTGTACATTCTTTGCTGTTTTGTGAGTTTTCCTGTTTTGCTCTCAGTCTCCGTATAAACTTATGTCGATTTCTCTCTCCCAGATTTTCTCCCTCTATTTTATTCTAAATTCACAAGGATAAAACAGACACAACTCTCCCTGCCCAGCCACCCACGGTACCCGCCCCAACACCCAGAGGCCAGGGGGTGGAAGCCCCAGTCTGCAGCACCACCGGGCTCCCATCGTTCCAGCGCCCACGCTGCTCCAACTTTCCCAAACTCCGGCCAGGGCTGTGCAACCGGGACAAAGCGGTGGCCAGGCCTCCCTGCCCACAAGGAAGAGGACCGCACTGAAGCCTTCACTCCTCCCATCCCCCTCCAAAGGTGCGGAGCTCAGAAAAGTCGCCCGGAGCCCTTTTTTTGTCCCCCGCGGGCGCGGAGCCCAGTCGGCTTCAGCGAGTCACCCACCTCTAGCCGCGGCTCCAACACAAAGCCCGGGTCGCGCTTCAGCGCTGGGCCCCCCGCCGATGGCAAAGTCCGGGCGCGGGACTCCTGGCGGCTCCCCGCCAGCAGAGCATGCCGGGAAAGGAGCTGGGCTGTCCGAGGACTCGAGATAAACTCCCCGGCTCGGCCAAACCCCCAGAGGTGGGGCTGGAGGGGGAGCCGGCGGCCAGAGCATCCAAATCCCCCGCTGCCAGGCGCCGCTGTCACCGCCAGGCCTTCCGACGGCGGCTCCAGACGGGCCGGGGGTTGGCGCAGCTGGGAGGCAGTCACGGAGAGATCGGGCAAAGCCAGCATGCAGGACGAAGGGGAGCGTAGGGTCCCTGCCTCTGGGGAAGGTGGCCTCCCAGGGGGGGTGGGAGATGATGTGGAGAAATGGTTACCACGGTGTGTGGGATACTGAGTCTGCTCTGGTACAGACGTTTAAATCCTGGCTCTACCACTCACTATCTGTAAGCAACTTCACTCTGCCTTGGCCTTGCATCTTTAAAATGGTCACGATTGTAAGCATCCTCCAGTTGGCAGTTGGATTTGATGTCTGGGTACATGCAATGCGTTTAGACGAGTACCTGGGCCAGGGTAAACAGTGAATCCGTGATAGTTCTTTTTACTCCCTGACCCATGAAGAGCAGTGACAAGCATGCCCACCCCTAGCAGTTTCCTCCTGTGGGGTGTTGTTGTTGTGAAGTGCCATCGAGTCAGTTCTGACTCATAGCAACGCTGTATAGTGTTTCCAAGGAGCAGCTGGTGAGCTTGAACTGCCAACCTTGCAGTTCAAACGGCTTTGCAATCTGACACATTAACCCACAGCGCCACACCAGGACTCCAGCTGTGGGTTAAGAGTACAAAACGCAGGACCGTGTCTCGCCGCCCTGGCCCTGCCCTTTCCGTTCCTTCGTGTCTCCATCACATACCAAAGGAGAAGGCAAAGGCATTCATGAGGGTTCAGCCCCCGCCTGCGTAAACCATCTCTGGGCCACCCCTCAGGCCTAGAAATGGCTCCGCCAGATGCACTGTCAGCTCTGGGTAAAATGGAAGGCCCTAGACCAGTTGCCATAGAGTTCATTCTAATGCATGTGTCTCACAGAATAGCGCTTACTGCCAAAAAACAGTTTCACATGTGTTTACCACATCAAAGATAGTGTGAAATCCATGTGAAATTGTTCAGCACAGATTAGTAAGTAAGCCCCTGCTTACCTTGCTTATTGGGTAACCCTGGTATGGTGTTGTATGATAAGAACCGAACTGATAACCACAAATCTATCAACTGTTCCTTGGAAACCCAGGATCACTGTGACTCTACAGCACTTAACTGCCGCAACAACTCTTAGCAAGTACCAAAGAATTCAGACTAGGTCTCAGGGAAGCTTAAAGCAGGGCTTGCAAACTGATAGTCCACAGGCCACATTCAGCCCAGAGCAGTGTTTTGTTTGGCCCACAGTTTTTTAAAAAACCAAATTAGTTGCCAGCATTTTTAAAAGTCAGGAATTTCACTTACATTTCTAGATTTCCAACTTCTCTGGAAAATTCATAAGATCTCTCAACATTCAGCCCACATTCCAACCGTGGTAACAGTCGCTAAAGGCAGCTGCTATCTCCAAGCATGCCCTCTGATCCACTACATCCCCACTCTCCTAAGCAACATAGACATATGCATAACTACCTGATCCTCTTTAAGTGGCGGCCCTCCAGGCAGCTAAGTTTTTCCACCCTTGGCCCTTAGAGCAGTACTCTGAAGTACTTTCATGTAGGAGTTACTGAGCATTCTGTTATGTGTAAGGAAAATGGGTTGCAGCAGGCAGCAAACACAATGGGTAACTGGGGAGCAGTAGCTCCATTTGTTGGACATTCTGTGAAAAGAACACAGTGCTATTTATTGGTCTTGGGTGTTTAGACATTTGGTGACCTTGAGGTAAGATGCTAAACCATGTGATCTCTCGTGGTCTGTTCCTGGTCTGGGTTTCGATGACCCTGTAGAAGGGATGTGGCCTTTACTTTACCCTGAGGACTTTACAACCCAAGTAGAAAAGAAATTGTTGTCAAGTGCTGCCAAGTCGATTCTGACTCCTAGCGACCCTGTAGAGGGTTTCCGAGGAGCGACTGGTGAGTTTGAACTACCGACCATGAGGTTCAAACTGACTTTGTAGTCCACAGTGCCACACCAGAACTCCGAAAAAGACATCTAATGCTATCAAAAAAAAAAAAAAAAACCCTCACAAAACACATAGACATGTGAAAATAGTTCAACTGAAGTCTGGAACTGACAGTGTAAATACCCCAATGAATCACTCTGATAGGTAAAGTTTTGTGTCAACTTCACGGGGCCAGGCTTTTCAGTAGCTTGGCAGCTAAAACACAGTAATTCCCCATGAGTTCTAATATAATGTACTTCCAGGATGAGATCTGCTATGAGTAGTCAATCAGTTGAAAGAGAGTTTCCTCGGGGGTGTGGCCTG